CTGTCCCTTCTGAGTTCTGAACCACTGAGAAATAGACACACAAGTCAGAACGAGATCAAAAGATTCCATCTATTACTGATAAAGTTTGGATTAGAGAGGCCGCTTGAGCCAGTTCGAGCATTTGGAACAGCCCAGAAGTTGATGCTGTAAAAAGAAACTCTGATTGTGGGGTGATTAGAGGGGGCAGAAAGTAGCCAGAGGCAGAGAGGGGAACGTGCCCTCTACCCGACTGGGGGCCGGGGATACTGGGCACCGAGTCCTAGCGTGGGCTTCGCTACTAGGTGTCCTCCAGTGCAGTGGCTGCCAGTGAGGACCAGTAGCTGATGCCCTTGGTCAGAATGGCCAGAATATATCCTCAGCAGAGCTCTGAAGACTGCTTTTTATATAACTTTGGCGAGTAAGCATGGCTCCCACTCCACCCCTAGAAGCTTTTCACTTGCCTTCCGGTTCTTTCTGCTTGCCTATTATCCAGGCTCATTTCTTATAGAACGGAAAATCTCTACCCCCACCCCTGTAAACCTTTCTTAGTTTCCAGGAAGCTGAAGACTGAAACTGAATCCTGCTGCAGAGAAGCTTGCACTGGCCAGCGCATCCATCCCGCCTCCCGCTTAGGGCTCCCAGAGCACTTTGTTTATACGTGTCACCTGTCTTGATCACGTTTTCATGTTGCCTGGTCATTTTCCATTTGCTTCCCTGTCTCCTTCCCTAAAGCTGTAAGTTCCCTAAGGGTAAGGACAGCATCTGTTCACCTTTATATCTCCAGCCCCTGCCCAGTGCTTGTTGTTAAGGGTGTTTCAAGGTCTCTAAGCATCTCTGTACATATTGGTCTTTTTAAAAAGACGATGGGGCAGTTGTGATCTGGGAGAAGGACTGTAGCTCTAGAAGAGAGGTGTGCTTATGTAAGAGAATTAAATGCTTATTATGAATCAGAGAGGTTTCCTCCTCTTTTGAATGAAAGGGTTGGGTGTTTGATTACTTGCCAGGGCATACAGGGTGTAGGACAGGGTGTAATGAGGGCTTTCTCAAGGTGGAGCTGCCTGGACAGGTGTGAGGAGCCGGGAAGCTTTAGCACCCCAGGGGGCTGGCAGTGCTTCTGAGGCTTCCTGAGCACTTCTGTGTTCACCTCTGTGTCCTCAGACCAAGCTGTGCCCCTCAGGGAGCCCGGCAAAAGAGGCTCTCTGGGGGAAGGCAAAGAGACCCCCAGTGTGCCCCCCTGGAAAGGGAGATGCTCAGGCTTGTTGGAGACCTGATTTGCCGGCGTGGCAAGGTGGGCAAGGCACCAAGCCCCGCCACCTGCCTTTTGCAAAGAGTCCTTCTGGGGTGAGCTAACATCAGCCTCCATCCGCCCTTCCCCCATGGTGAGATGGAAACGATCTGTGTACCATGGTGGGATCCCCAGCCTAATCCTCCCTCTGGGAATTCTGATCAGAGCCTGCTTTTGCTTTTAATGGAAATGATTTCCACAAGACAGAGTTTCTGTATTAGTTGCTGCTGGGCTGTCTGAGAAAAGAACTCACATCACAGCTGGGGTTGAGATTGTGCCCAGATGATTCAAACTTAAGTCCTTAGCATTTCCAGGGGGCAGTGAAGTGAGACAAAGGGCTCTCACCCTGACAAGATGGTATATAAGAAACTGCTGGGGGTCGACGAGCGGGGCAGTGGCCAGTGCCTCCGTCCTCTCTGTGGTGCGAGCCTTTCAGGTAAAGTGGCTTTGACAGACGGGACAGGTTTGGCTCCTCCAGGGCCCTGCCTTTTGGGTAATTGTTCTCATGATTAGGAAGCTCCTGGACTCTCCCTTTTCTATTCACAGGACACTCTGCACGTCCTCGTCCTGCCCCCATGTCACACCCCACGTCACTTGAATGTGAGCCAAACAGCTACGTAAGAGACATGGAATCCTTTGACGTTAGTAAAACCTGCACTGGGGAAAAGGAACCCTTGCAGCTGATGCTTAGATTTCACCCATGACTGCCTCTTGGGGCAGGCCCAGTTGATTCCGATTTGCGTGGTTCTGCAAGCCGGGGGCTCTGCCGCTGTTCTGTCAGCTGTCTGTCCTGAACTCCGCTGCCGGACTGAGTTCCCCCAAATGCTGCTTTCACCTGTCACTCAAGAACCTGCCATCTCCTCAAGCAGATTTCATGGATAGTGAGATTTCCATTAATATTCTGGGATGAGATATAGGATTGCAAGGTTTTATTTTGCCAAACAAGAGCATTTTCTTTTTTGTTTTTTTTTTTGTTTGTTTTTTTTTTTTTGCGGTACGCGGGCCTCTCACTGTTGTGGCGTCTCCCGTTGCGGAGCACAGGCTCCGGATGCGCAGGCTCAGCGGCCATGGCTCATGGGCCCAGCCGCTCCGCGGCATATGGGATCTTCCCGGACCGGGGCACGAACCCGTGTCCCCTGCATCGGCAGGCGGACTCTCAACCACTGCGCCACCAGGGAAGCCCAAGAGCATTTTCTTTAAAAGCCAGTTACCGTCTACTTCCTCCACGATTTTATAAATGAAAACATTTTAGCACCAAAACAAAGGAAGACTTAACTTCACCGTTCAGGGCAGTCTCACGTTGACTTGGTTGAGCTTTGTGGAAAACCTTTTTCTCATTTTGTTGATCTCAGACCAGCGTTTGCGAGCTGCTGGATTGTTCCATTGGATCCAAATGCACCCTGGCTTTGGAGGCCCTCGGTGGTGCGGCCGGTATTTGGTGTTCCCCATTTCCCACCCACCCATCTCCTGTACTCACTCGTCCTTCCCTGCCTTCTCATGGCCTGGGCCTCCACTTCGCTCCCCCCAGCAGGCCCCCCACTTCTTCCAGAAGCCGCTTCCGACAGGCTGCCTCCTTCTCCACGTCTCTCCTATCGGTGCCTGATGCAGTACTGCCTGGGTTTTCATTCGCATCATTCTGTGGTTCTGTCTCTTTACTCCCTTCCCTCCCTCCCTGCCTGTGTTCTTGAGTATCAGCTGTGTAGAAGGCAGATACTTCGCTGCAACCTCTTTCTCACTCCTAAATCTGCGGTGTTGGTACAGAAGCGGCATGCTACAAGCTGCTCCTAGCACTCAGAATGTCCCCACAGTCAATGGGTGCTCAAGGACACTGTGCCCATAGATCTTGAAGATGTGGCCCTGTTTGTTATTACTCAGGAAATTCCCACCTTTTTAAAGAATGGTATTATTATAACACAGTTGTTTGTTTTGTACTTCTTTCATTCCCATTTTAAATGGCACGTGACAGACATTTTTAACTAAAGAGAATTTAAGAGCTTTAAAAGTATTTTATAACTTTAGAACATCCCTTTTGACTGATGTTTTTAATTTCTCACATTTAAAAAAAAATATCTACTAGGCACAGAGTACTGTGCTAGATACTGGGACAAAGAGATTAGAACATGGTCCCAGCCCTCAGAGTAGCTTAATGTCTCATGGACAGAATACAGACACAAAGAGAGCAAGCGGGCGCACAGGAAACGTTGAGTTTGGGCTGAGTGTGGAAGTGGCTGCTTTGGTATTTTACCTGGGGACACTAGCTATGATTTGAAGGGGCCACGTTAAAAGTAAACGGTGACAAAGCGATAAAGAGGCATGGACATATATACACTACCAAACGTAAGGTAGATAGCTAGTGGGAAGCAGCCGCATAGCACAGGGAGATCAGCTCGGTGCTTTGTGACCGCCTGGAGGGGTGGGATAGGGAGGGTGGGAGGGAGGGAGACGCAAGCGGGAAGAGATATGGGAACATATGTATATATATAACTGATTCATTTTGTTGTGAAGCTGAAACTAACATACCATTGTAAAGCAATTATACCCCAATAAAGATGTTAAAAAAAAAAAAAAAGTCAATGAGAAACAAGGTCATTCTGTTGTTAAAAGTCTTCTCCTGTACAAAATAGCAATTAACAATTTGCTGTAAGAAAACACGACAGATACTGAAAGCAAATTGGAAAGTATTTAATTTCCCTTGAATTTTGAACACACCACCCCACCCCCACCCCGGGGCGGGGGGCGGGGTAAAAGACATGTGCCAGAGTGGGAGGACATGAGTGCAGACCTGAAGGACAACACCCAGGGAGGGGATCCCAGCAGGTTTCTTATCTGCTTGTCAGCATTAAATTGGCAGTCCCCTAAATAAGAAAGTTTGCTAATGAATAGCAGTCTACTGACTTTGAAGTACATTCGCACTGGGAACTGTTTCTGAGCTCTGAGAATGCCAACCTGATTTGCTACGAGTTTTGCTCTGGGAATTACAAGGAGCTCTCCCTTCATTCTCCTGTCCTCCACCCCAGCCAAGTCCTGGGACTTAGCTTTTCCCGCAAGCTTCTGTCCAGCCAAGCTTGCAGTCTTGCTTGCCTCTCCGGCTGGCCTGCAGGAGCACACTTCTGAGCTCAGAGGGGAGCAGAGCTCTGCCTGAGCTTCTCCCTGCCCTCCGCCCGCCTGGCTGTCCGGCTTCCAGGCCTGGATTCCTGACTCCTTGTTGCCGAGGACTCCTTCTTGGTCCCTGTGGAGATCTGTCCTGTTTACCCAGAGGCCTAGCTCGGAACTCTTTGGGGTACATGCTTCTGCTCCAGACTCTGCCCCAGGCCCAGACTCAGCTCTCCTGTGGCCACCAGCTTCAAGTCAGTGACAAGAGAGTGTAGAGCTGTGAGCATGGGCCTGGGACAGGCCGCCTGGGCTCTGATCCTGACTCTTTTGCTTTAACTTTTCTGTGCCTCAGTTTCCTAAGATAATCGTGAGTAAAATGAGGTAACATGTTTCAGAGGTAACGGTCGGTAAAAGGGAGATGATAATAGTAACTATGCCATGGGGATGTTAGGTTAAATGAATTGTACCCATAAAACACTTAGAACAGTCCCTGACACGTAACACCAAATGGATGTTAACCGTGTGCCCAGATTCCGAGAAAGGCCCCGTTTCTGTCCTCACAAAAGAGCCACCTCTAACAGGGAAGAACCCAGGAAGGGCTACAGTACAGGCCACCAGCAGTAATGGCCTGGAAAGACCTCACCTCATTTGGGATCCATCCGGTGGGTCTGGGTGGAGGGGAAGGATTTGAAGTGGAGGCCTTGGGGCGAGGAAGGCTGGGCCCCTACTGCTTGGCAGCGGCGGGTGAGGGGCGGTCTGGTCTGGTTGGGTGTGTGGAGGGAGCACCGCAGTAAGAGACGAGACTGGGGGTGTCTTGAAGCACTCAGCAGTTGGTGCCGGAGTCAGAGGGAGAGCAGGCAACCTTTGTGAGCAAGGAAGGGAAGGAAGTAGAGTCGCGCATCACACTCCACATCACTCAAATAAGAGACACAAAGCATTCCCTTTGAACAGACATACCACAGTTTACATAACCCTTCCTAATGTGGCTACCATTAGGTGGCTTTCAGTTTTTGTTATTATAAATAACACTGCAATTAATATTCTTATGCATTCTTAATCAAAATTGTTTTGGACTGTTTCCTCAGGAATACATTCTTAGAATGACCGCATTAAAGGGAATAACTATTTTTCTGCGATACTTTCTCTTTTTTATTAACTTTTATTGTTGTATTATAAAAGTAATACACATTTGGGACTTCCCAGGTGGTCCAGTGGTTAAGACTTTGCCTTCCAATGCAGGGGGTACGGGTTCGATCCCTGGTCGGGGAGCTAAGATCCCACATGCCTCGGGGCCAAAAAACCAAAACATAAAACAGGAGCAACATTGTAACAAACTCAATAAAGACTTTTAAAAAAATGGTCCACATCAGGGCTTCCCTGGTGGCGCAGTGGTTAAGAATCTGCCTGCCAATGCAGGGGACATGGGTTCGAGCCCTGGTCCGGGAAGATCCCATGTGCCGCAGAGCAACTAAACCCGTGCACCACATCTACCGAGCCTGCGCTCTACAGCCCGCGAGCCACAATTGCTGAAGCCCGTGTGCCACAACTACTGAAGCCCGTGCGCCTAGAGCCCGTGCTCCACAACAAGAGAAGCCACCTCAATGAGAAGCCCGTGCACCGCAACAAAGAGTAGCCCTCGCTCGTCGCAACCAGAGAAAGCCTGAGTGCAGCAACGAAGACCCAACACAGCCAAAAATAAATAAATAAAATAAATAAATTTTTAAAAAATGGTCCACATCAAAAAATCTTAAAATAAAAAAAAGTAATACAAGTTTGTGTTACGAAAATTTTAAATTAACAAGTAAGCCCAAAATAGCCATCAGTTACCCATCACCTAGTAATAACATTTTTCTAGGTATCCTAAAGCATGTACATTTTTTAGAGCTTTTGACACAAGCTGCAGGATAATTTTCCAGAAAGGTTAGACTAATTTAGGCTTTCCCCAGCAGGGAACAATAGTGCATTGTCACTGCCTCTCACCAAATTGAGAGTCTGGGGGTTCCATTTAATCTTTGTTAATATGGTAGGTTGGAAATGGTGTTTTATTATTGTGTCGGCTTGCATTTGTTTTACTGCTTGTGGGTTCGATCAACTCTTGAGTCGTTTCTTTGCCATTTCTGAGAAAGGGAGAAACTTCCTTCTGCGGTCACTAGAGTCTCCTGACACCTTAAGCCCTAGACCTACCAGCCACATTTTTAGCCAGAATTACTTTTTTTCCCAACTAAGGTATAATTTACATACAGTAAACTTCACTCTTTTTAGCATACAGTTCTGCAAGCTACACATACCACACTCAAAACATAGAACAGTTCCATCACCCCAGAAAATTCCTGCACACCCCTTTGTAGTCAACCCCTCTCCCCTACCCTCAGCCCCTGGCAACCACTCCTGTTCTCTGTCCCTGTAGTTTTACCTTTTCCAGAATGTCAGGTAAGTGGAATCAGACAGCTGGTAGCTTTTGAGTCTAGCTTCTTTGACTTAGCATCATGCACTTGAGGTTCACCCCTGTGTTTTGTGTGTATCAGTGTTCATTCCTTTTTATTGCAGAGTATAAGTGTATACATGGTATAGATATTCCACAGTTCATTTGCCCATTTGTCAGTTGAAGGATATTTGGGTTGTTTCCAGTTTGGGGCGATGATGAATAATGCTGCCATAACATTTGCCTACAGGGGTTTTTTTTGTTTCTTTGGGTTTTTTTAGGGAATTCCCCCATCTTATTTTTTTTTTAATTTATTTAATTAATTTATTTTATTTTTGGCTGCATTGGGTCTTCGTTGTTGCACGCGGGCTTTCTCTAGTTGCAGCGAGCAAGGGCTACTCTTCATTGCGGTACACGGGCTTCACATTGCGATGGCCCCTCTTGTTGAGGAGCACAGGCTCTAGGTGCGCGGGCTTCTGTAGTTGTGGCATGCGGGCTCAGTAGTTGTGGCTCGCAGGCTCTAGAACACAGGCTCAGTAGTTGTGGCGCACGGGCTTAGTTGCTCTGCGGCATATGGGATCTTCCCAGACCAGGGCTCGATCCCGTGTCCCCTGCATTGGCAGGCGGATTCTTAACCACTGCGCCACCAGGGAAGCCCTGCCTACAGGGTTTTGTGTGATGGTTGTTTTCATTTCACTTGGGTAAATACCTAGAAAAGGTTGGGTCCTATGACAAGTGTCTATTTAACTTCATAAAAAATTACCAAACTGTTTTCCAGAGTGGCTCTACCACTCACCAGCAATGTACGATAGTTCCAGTTTCTTTACCTGCTTATCAGCACTTGGTATTATCAGGGTTTTTTGTTTGTTTGTATGTTTTAGCCATGCTAATAGGTGTGTAGTGGTGTTTCATTGTGGTTTTAATTTGCATTTCCCTAATGACTAATGATGTTGAGCGTCTTTTTCATGTGCATATTTTCTGTCTGCATATCTTTTTTGGTGATGTGTCTCTTCATATCTTTTGCCCATTTCTTAATTGGGTTTTTGGTTTCTTATTACTGAGTTTTTTTGGGTTTTTTTTTCTGTACGCGGGCCTCGCACTGTTGTGGCCTCTCCCGTTGCGGAGCACAGGCTCCGGATGCGCAGGCCCAGCGGCCGTGGCTCACGGGCCCAGCCGCTCCGCGGCATGTGGGATCTTCCCGGACCGGGGCACGAACCCGTGTCCCCTGCATCGGCAGGCGGACTCTCAACCACTGCGCCACCAGGGAAGCCCTATTACTGAGTTTTGAGATTTCTTTTTATATTTTAGATATAAATCCTCTATCAGATTTGTGATTTGCAAATATTTTCTCCCTGTCTTTGGCTTGTCTTTGCATTCTCTCTGGCTTATTTTTTTATCCTCTTTTGAAGAGCAGAAGTTTGACATTTTGGTAAAGTCTAATTTATTGAATTTTTTTTATGGCTTGTGCTTTGGGTGTCACATCTAGGAAATTTTTGACTAACCCAAGGTCACGAAGATTTTTTCCTATGTTTTCTTCTGGCAGTTTTATAGTTTTAAGATTTACATGTAGGTTCTCCACTTATTTCCTAGCTCGAAGTTTCTTTTAGAAAACAGTTCCATTAAAGAGACACACACCTGAGTAGATTTGGTATGGAGTCAGTCCTAGGAGCCTGCGCAGGCATGGTGCCCTCCAGGAACCATCTGGAAAGGAGGTGTGGGCATCAGAAGCTGCCCAGGAGTGGCTTTTAAACAGATAGTAGGCTTCTCTGGCTTAAGACTTGGCATAAAAGTGAAGATTGTATCCTTTAAAGGAGGGTGAGGATGATAAGAGAAAAACCTCTAAACTTTCTAGATAAATCCTTCTGACTGCTGCCCAAAGTCAGGACGGTGACTGATGCCAAGCCCAGGACTTTGTCGATTACACACAAACACCCATGTCGGTGACTCACCCGATCATGCTTTAATCTCATAACCGAGAGGCTTTCAGAAATTATAGTCAACAAGGCAGCTTGCTAGTTGTGACTGCCATTGGAATTGGGTTTGCCTCAGAACAGCTGGAGTGTAATGTGGTGGGAAGAAAGCCTGATGTGGGTGAAGGGCCAAGGATTGCTTGCCTGGGAAGGATGTGCAGCTAACGTTTGATAGAAATCTGTGAAATGACCGACCTCAGCCAAGCTAAGTAGAGGCCTGCCATCTTTCATCCATGGGAAAATACACTGCAGCAAAAGTATTCAGAAAACAGCGTTGACTGTCTGCTTTGTGTCAGTCATTGCAAGACACAGATGGTCCAGAGCGTGCTCCGTGCTGGGCTGACAGGAGCCGAGAGAAGACTCCTGTTCTAGTGAAGGAGAGCCCTTGAGAGCAGGTTGGAAATGGCTTCTCCAAGGATGTTCCAGACAGAGCAGCACAAGGGTTTGGTGTGTTCTGGGATTTGCCTTTGGCCTTTGGCATGGCTGTGTCACAGGAAGGGCTCACAGAGGCAGTGGGAGATGTTATTAGACGTGGAACCAGGGCCAATCTTGGAGGACCTTGTTTGCTCTGCCCTGAGATATGAGTGTTTTCTTGAATTCAAATTGGTACCATTGAAGCATTTTACATATGGAAGTGATGGGCTAGGACTTTCTTTTTAGAAAGATCTCTCTGGAGGCTCTGTGGAGAATGAATTAGAAGGGGCCAATTAGTGGTCATCTAGGTGAGATGGCTAACCTGAAGTCATACAGCTGACAGGAAGCCACAGGTGAGAAAGACACTGAGGAGGTAGAATCAGAGCCCAAAAAGGGAGGGGGTGGGCACATGGATGGACACTCCTGGGTTTCTGACTGGGCAGCGGGGCGGCTGTGGTGCCACCCAGGAGAGTCCCCCCCGCCCCGCATCGCAGGAGGAAGAGCAGGCGTCAGCTGGGGACCCTGTGAGCTGGAGGCCCCTGGCACCATCCTGTTAAAGGCCGCAAGGCGGCCGGCCTCGGGAGTCTGGTGCACCTCTGCTACCGCACCACAGATTCTCCCTCCACTAAGGTACACACGTGTTCCTGGAGGCATCAGAAACACATGTGCCTTCCAGAGTACAGTAAGCAGGACTAGAAACACGCTATAAAGGCTAGTGAGAGAGGCGGCGTGAGCGCACACGGGGATTGAAGAGCAGCACGTGGCACAGCACGGAAGCCTCTGTCCCCCGCCCCCCCCCCGCCCCCATGAGCCAGGTTGCCAGACAGGGCTTCCCTTGGGCACGGGGCTGGAGGAGAGCAGCCATCGTCAGCTCTCGGCCTCCCCCCACCCCCTTACCTTCTCCTCTCTCTTCCCAGACAAGCTCTTCTCATTTGTTTTTTTTTAAGAAAAAAGAGTGAATTCACTCCCAGTCCTTTTGAAACCCGACATGTCAGTGATAGATGAGGCAGTATTCTTTAACTTCAGAGGAGAAAAAGTGAGTGAGTGAATGCAAGCCCGGGGAGTTGAAAAGTCCAAGGGAACAGGAGACACATGGGGTGACCCCGCCGTCAGGAGGAGCGCCCTCAATCCCACCCCTGCTGGTGCTATGCAAAGGCACAGACAATGCTACTTTCAATAAATCATGAAGGCTCCTGAATACCCATTTTTGTCTGTTTTCAATGGACCTTGGGCATATTGCTTAAGATATGGCCAGCCATTTGTGCTGTGTTCCCAGATACTCAAAGGCTCGAAGTCAAGTGCTCTCTCGACTATATAATGGAGTCTTTGCATAGGGGATTTTGGGGGAGATTTTTTCAGATTTCCATAGCTAGTCATAGTGAAGGTGACCTCGTGGGTAGTGGGGGCCATTGTCACCCTTCAAACATCCATCCTTTGAGTGATGCTGAGCTTTGTGGGGTATCCATGCAGCACCTAATTCGATCACACATCTGACCCCTGCCTCTTTTTGGCACTGTCCCCTTCTCTGTGCTCACTGGGCTGCTGGAGGCCTCTGCACAAACCCTGGCTGTCCTCTGGACGCATTCTATGCTGAACAGAGCTCTTGACTGTTTTTCCCGCTCTCAGAATTCTAGGCCCCCCAGTGGATCTGGCCTGGGGAGTGGCTGCTTGTTCTCAGGATGGTGTGCTCACGAAGATGCCTGTTGGAAGCGCCTTTTAAAAGTCCCTGGGTTGTTTCCACAGTGGAGTCTTGGAAAGCAAAGAGAAGAATAACCTGGGGTCGTTTAAGGGCTGGCTGGTCATTTCCTTAATCGTCTGTGACCGTTAAGAGCCTGATTTTCTATAAAGAAGCACAGAGGCTTCCTTGGCTTGTTATTAATAATAACAAACAGCTAGAATTTATTGAGCACCTGCCATTTGCCAAGTGCTTTCACATGTTACCTCATTTAATCCTTAAACCTTATACCCATTTTTACAGATGAGGAAACTGAGACTTGAGGTTAAATAACTTGTCAAAAGTCACATAGCTAGAAATGGCAGAACTAGGATAGAAACATTCCTTATTCTGCTTAATTTTTATCTTTCTCTTGTTTTATATTCTGCGAATCTGAACAAATGGATCAAGTCCTACTCTTAGGATGACTTTGAAGAGCTATGTTAAAATACTGTGTAATTCCATTTATATAACATTCTTAAAATGACCGAATGATAGAGCTGGAGAACAGAGTTGTGGTTGCTAGGAGTTGAGGGCTGGTGGGGGGAGAGGGAGGTGGCCCAAGGGGGATCTTGGTGGTGAAGGGACAGTTCTATATCCAGGTTGCTGTGGCAGTTACACGAATCTACACATGTGACCAAATGAGATAGAACCAGACACACATAACATGCCAGTGTGTTTCGTGGGTTTGATGTTGTGTTATAATTATGTAAGATGTCACCTTTGGTGGAAATTGGGTAAAGAATACATGGGCCCTCCCTGTTGTATCTCTGCTATTTCTGTAAATCTATAATCATCTCAAAACAAAAAGTGGGTTGTTTAATTCACCTGAGTGGGACGCCAGCATTGCACCTGGAAAAGGCCAGGTCTCAGCTCAGAAGTTGCTTGCTCTCAGAAAGCAGTCCACATCATAAAGCTACAGGTGGCCTAGGAGGAGAACACACACTAGAAGAGGGTCTGGGATTTAGCCTCTGTCAGACGTAACCCGAGGCTCTGTTGTCTTATGGGAAAGTACTGAACCGA